TACAACATTAGCATTCCTTGAAAATTTTATAAAATTGGAAATCATTTTAAAGTCTGTAACTATTTTCCCTCAGTTGTGAAACACTGTACTAAAGATAAATATAAAACACTTTGATTAATTTGGTTCTCATTTGGAAGACATTTAAAGAAAATTATAATGCTCTGAAATCCCTTACAATTGAAATTTCAGGATGTTTCTCTCCACCATCAAAAACATCCAAAATAGTTGCTGCCACCTAATCCTTTTGTCATCCATTTTACTAACTTTGGTTAATAGAACTTAAAAGAGAATGTGCACCTATACAGACTTGTAAAATTCAGAACATGATAAAATTAAATCAAAGAGAAGAATGTTCAGAGATTAGAATCAGGCCAGGATGTGCAAAATCTGCATGTGAACAAACTTTTTTGCGGCTATACGGTAAGTTTTAAAGGACCTTATTCCTTTACTGACTTCTCAGAAGAGCAGAGAGAGCAGCAGTTGATAACACCAGGGTTTGCATTCATCTGAGCTCATCAGCTGTTTCTGGTTGTGTGTTATCTCCATTCTGCCAAACACACACACACACACACACACACACACACACACACACACACACACACAGCCTATCCATGTCATACATGCCTTGGTCAGTACACATCCCTAGAATGAGTTTATAGTGTCAACAACCTTAAGTCAAAGCCTAAGGACCATTTTCATTGTCAGGCAGAACTGCTTGTAGCCCTACTCAGTTTTTGTCTTCAAAACTCAATGGTCAAATACAATTTATAAAGTCATAGAATTTCATTGGACTGTAAGGCCACAAGATGGGAGCTTTCAAAATGAAATATTCCATTCTATTTTGACATTTATGACATTCCCTATTTTTCTATCTAGAATTTTAATTCCTACATACATCAAAGGCCATATGCTTTCTAACTCCATAATGTTCTATATTCCTTGGAACATACATATTCTCTCTCTCTCTCTCTCTCTCTCTCTCTCTCTCTCTCTCTCTCTCTCTCTTCTCTCTCTCTTTCTCTCTCTCTCTCTCTCTTCTCTTCTCTTTTCTTCCTCTCTCCTTCCCTCCCTCCCCCTCTCTAATTTCTAAAATAAGGATCACAATGTCTGATTTCAAATAGAACACCACTGTATTTCCTACATAATGTTAGACAAATCAATTTTTTCCAGTAGCTATAAGATTAAACCTAAGTTCTCTTCCTTGCCAAATTTATAAGCTTTTATGTGAGTATGAAATAAGGAGGAAAATTAATTCATTTGGTATTTAGCCTTTAATATCTGTCAGGAGCTGTTTACCAGATTCTGGGGTACCTATGTTTATAAAGAGGACAAATAAGCTCCCTGCCACGTGCACTGGCATTGGGGTTGGGAAGACAGTAGGTGAAGAAGCAAAGTCAGGGTTACACCTTGTGGTAGGTGCTTTGAGGGAAGTGATGGAGAATGACAGCAACGGTGATACTTACGGCTGTCAGGAAAAGCCTCTGAGGAAGTGACTTTGAAAAGGTGACACCTGAGGACATAATATGTGAGAGGAAGCTAGCCATGTACTGAACCATGGAAGTGTGTTATCAGCTATAGGATGTTACCTCGGTGAGTAGCAGCCCCCGCAGGTCCCCTGTGCAGTAGGGAAGTTAGAAAGCTACAACAGATTTTAGATTGTCCTGTTTCTGGAGCTATAACTGTACAGTGATCTCTGTACTTTCTTATGAACTTCCGTTTGTTTTTCCATCCAAATCATGATATCTTCCTCTTGTTTCTGGTTTGTACTAGCTTAACCTCAGGACTTGTCACTGTCCCCTGTCTCTGACACTGCCTTGCTCAAGCTGTTCTCAGTCCTCCCCATCACCATTCCTATACTTCCTTCTGCTCCAGAACTCCCTGCAACTGATTTCCCTTTCTCATAATTCTAAAACCTCAAAGTTTTCCGAGTTTGACTCACTTAACGGCAAAACTACCTATCTTTCATAATATAAGCAATTTCTGATACCCACATCCAAAGAGAGGGGATATTTTCAGATTGATCTGATTGGATCTCGCTGGTACAGTGCCTAGCACATAGTAAGTTCTAAATGAATATTTATTGAATAATGAGTGAATGATTGATTCTCTTCATCTTAGTCTCCCTATAGGATTAAAGGGCTTTTCCTTAATTACATGTATATTCTTTTCTCACATGTAAAATGCATGGAAAACATTATCTTCAGATATATAGAATATCAAAATCTTACTCCTTATTCACAAGACATTTTAATTTAAATCTACTCTATTTGCTGTAGGGGAAGAATTTTGTCATTGATCTTAGAGATAGCTAGAGATGCTGAAGTATCTCTAAGATTTTTTTATAGTGTCCAGCACCCAGTGTATGGCACAGCACACAACATTTAGTATGATAACAATCCCTAAGATTTGAATTGTTTGGGCTTTTACTTTTAACATCCATTATAATCAGATATATCCATTTAGATTAAGCAGAAATTTTCTATGGAAAAAAATCTTTGTATTGAGGAAGTTGTCATAGTTTTAGTTAAGCAGCAACTAAAAACAGTTTCTTTTAAAGAAATTTTTCAACTGTGTTCAGAGTTTTGTTTTCACATTATATAGTACTAAAGGCCTGATGCACGAAGATTCGTGCAAGAATGGGCCTTTCTTCCCCTGGCTGCTGACACTGCCTTAGCTCTGGCCCAGAGCCTTCCCACACTGCCCAGAGGCCCTGAGCAGCTGGGGTGGTGCCTGTATATGCAAAGTAATCCGCCATCTTTGTTGGGTTAATTTGCATACTCCTGATTAGTTGGTGGGTGTCACGAAGGTACAGTCAATTTGCATCTTTCTCTTTTATTAGTGTAGATTATTGTTCATTAGTGGCAATAATAATTTAGTCCCAAAAACTTTTAGAGGTTTGTCAAAAACAAATGGAATATTCACTTTTCATAGGTGTAGAGGTTTGTTTAGAATAAGGTTGGGGAACCTTTTTTCTGACAAGATCCATTTGGATATTTATAACATCATTCTCGGGCCATACAAATTTATCAGCTTAAAAATTAGCCTGCTGTATTTGGTCAATCATTTAATTAACTTTCCCTAAGGCTTGGGCAAGGACAGACCAAATGATTATGCAGGCCTTATGAGGCACTTGGACCAACATTCCCCACCTCTGGCTTTAGTTTCAAGAATTGAATCTTAAATGTTAAGTATTTATTTCAAATAAATTAAAATTTCATATCAATTAGATATAAATTATAAAAGATCCCTTAGTTTTAGGCATTCTCTGTTTATAGCTTTAAAATTTTTAAATAATACAAAAAATATAGCCTCATTGATTTTTGTTGCTGCTTGTATTATATTCTTTAAGAAATTTTATATAACTTTCACTCTGAATGTTTTATTTTGGCTAATGTACGGTTCTGACCCATGTGATCAGGACCAATGTTAAAACAGCAGTATAGTGTTTATAGTTTTATACTTGTTTCCCTGTGAGATGTACCTGTAAAGTAATGGATAGGACAGTCTTCCTAACAAACATACTAGGAGCCATGTATCAGGGAGGCCCTTGTCCCCTTCAAATCAGTCACCTCGAAAGCTACACATTGTTCCAGTAACACTATTCTGACATAAAATGTTGTGGAATGCCTCTTTTCAAACTGTATCTGAACTGCTAAGAAATAATAAAGACTAAAATGACATTATTCTGAATATATCGTAGATTGTGAAAGATGAATTTGATATTGGTGAGTAGTCAGAAATCATCCCAGCACCAACTGCACTGAATGAAATTTGGAAGGCTGTTTGGAGTTACAACTGGATGTAAAATAATAAGATGAGTTTTCTTGAATAATATGTAAACTAACTCTTGAAAGTGTCAAAGAGAAATCGCAGAACTTTGGACCTTGAAATAAGTGTTTAAACTCCCAAGGTAGCTACTATTAGAACAGCACATGTTTAGGTTAAAAAAATGTATATGTTTGCAAAATAAGATCAGTTTTATTACTTCATAGACAAACCTTGTAGATGAAAAAAATACTTCTATCATGGAACTCTTTATAGGCAAACTTCCGAATGTAAGTAGAATTTCTGTCTCACCCTGAGTCTGTTGAGAAATCTGAATTTAGAATGATAACTTATTCTGAATATTCAGCTTTAAAAAATATATGTTTTCCATTTAAAAATTGGATGGATTTAGGTTTTACTTCACCATTTTCTGATTAACTTTGTTAACTTTGCTCCTCAATTTTTTATTTAGTATATTTTGTTCATCTTTGTCCACCCTGAGTCTCTCAGAATGTATTATCCCAATGTAAAATTATCATCAAGCTCTGGAACAGAGGTAGAAAATAAAACCTAAGCTGAAGATTAGACCTTGTTCCATATTACTTTAAGCTCTGTTTGGTTGGCATTCGGAACGATCAGATGCCTTTGTTAAAAGTGGAACCTACTATCTTATTAAATAAGAACAGCAACTTACAAAAAGAAAAGCCTTTTTATAAAAGTAAATACTCTCAACTCTGGGGCTCCCATTATATTTTTCATTTCAGCTAATAAAAACTTGAAAAACAGAATTCCAACAGAAAAAGCAGCTGGGCCATGTTTTTCTCATGTAAACTCCAGGTGGACTCTTGGACGTGGCCTGGGCGTGGGCCTGGAGGGTGCGCCCGCTTCATCAGGCCATTCCGCATTGATTGCACCATGTCTAGGCTGGCCCAGGCTGTCAGGCCCCTATTTCCTTGCTGCTGCGTTGAAATAATAAAAGTAAAATGGAGTGTGGAAGGCAGAGAAAATTGGTAGCCTTTTGCAAGGAGACTAAGACAGCTAAATTGTGACACAATTCAAAGTGTTCAAATTCGACAAGTTTGATTGAAAAATTGCATGACCTATGTAGTTAGAGAGCAAAATGGTCACTAGTTTATAGTTTTAAAAAGCCACAGTGTGGTGTTTTTACTACAGACTGAGAATATTTTTTTTTATTCTGCCTGGTAGTAATTGTTACACAAATGCCTGTTTTGCAGTTTGGCGATTTAAATGCTGTGTCTCCTGGAAATCTGGATAAAGGTAAGAATTTAAAATAACGTACATTTTTTTAAAATATATTTTATTCATTTTTCACAGAGAGGAAGGAAGAGGGATAGAGAGCTAGAAATGTCAATGAGAGAGAACAGCTGCCTCTTGCACACCCCCTACCGGGGATGTGCCCGCAACCAATGTACATGCCCTTCACTGGAATCGAACCTGGGACCTTTCAGTCCGCAGACTGACGCTCTACCACTGAGCCAAACCGGTTTTGGCTAAAATAATGTACATTTTTAAGGACTTTATTTGACTGGGAAATTCTCTCGGAGGAAAATGTAGTGTATCTTCTCTGGCACTCTTACTTTGTGGAAATGGCATGCATTCTGAGGTGACTATGGCTGTGATGTCTTCGGAATCCTTCATTATTTCTCCATTTCCGTGCTATCTTTAAGTGAGGTACCTTAAGTACAAGAAATAAATTTAAACACAGTTACAGGCTCATTATAAGTTCGTTATAAGTTCTGACCATCTGCAGAGTCCTAGAAAAAAGGCATAAAAGTTGGTCTAAATATCTGTATTCAAGGCCTATCAGGCAAGGGAAAAAAGATTCCTCAGCCTACTTATCTCCACTCCACGCTTCTGAATGGAAAAGGGACTCGGAAAAGCTGTGATGTTTACTGTAGAAGCAAGATCAGTCGTGGTATAGATGAAAAGGATGACATACATTCTTTTTAAATTATTATACCAGCATTACCACTCTAATATGCCAATAGGACATATATTCCTGAAGAAACTCTTGATCTACCAAACCACAGGAGTGGGGAGGGGCATGGGAAAGGTTGAAATAGACTACACAGCAGCAGTAAAAATCCCATAGAAAACCAGCCCAGGTTTTATAAAAATATAAAATTTCTAATAAACAAGCACCATAGAAATATAAATTTCTAAGGAGTTCAGCTTAATCTGACCAAAGAGCTACTTGTACATGACAGAAGAGAATAACATGAAGATTATTCTGTTATTTGGCTCTGTTTCTACAAGTCACTGAAGTAAAAAATGTAACAAGTGTAGATATAATTTAATTATAGATGAGATATTTGATGTGATTACACCTTTTACCTTTTTTTTGTAAACAGTAAAACAGATCAAAGATGAATTAAGAAGATTTTTAAGGCAAAAATATATTCCCCACTGTTTAAAAGTGACCACTCATGGAAAAGCATGCTCTATACTCCTTGGAAGGGAATCTCTCACAGCAATTAAGCTGTGTGAGTCTTTTCTCTCCCTACTTTTGAATTTTAACTGTGTTTCCTGAAAACATTAAAGGGTGTTCCTCTTAAAAAAATTATTTGTCTCTTAATAATAAGAGTTTAGTTCATATAAAATGTATTAACATTTGGAGAGACCAGTGACATTTTATTTCCAGAAATGAATACCAGTATTAACAGTGAATATCAGTATTGCCAGGAATAGAAATCCATTGTGCACTGTTAATCTGATACTACTGCCTCAGTCTTTATAACCTTTTGTAATAAAAATTAAGAGCCTATTTAATTGTCATCTATAATATTCATGTTCACCAAAGAGTCTTTATAGCAATCCATGCTTACATCTGACATATGTCATCATCAGTCTCACCAACACTAATATCAACACATAAAATGCATATCTAAGTATAGATTTTTGGAGGAGATTGAAGTTTTTCTCCTTCTTTCCTTCCTTTACTCCTTTTTTAGTTAGCATTTTTCACCTCAATACATTCCCCAAAAGCCAACAGTGTATTAAAGTGCCTACTTCCTGTTGACACAAATTATGCCAAACTATTTAATACAAAAACATGAGGAAATTCCAAAGGACTTTTAAAGGAGCTATTGAAAGTATTAATAAAAAACTAACCCCAAATAGACTACCTTTACCAGGTTTGAAGGAATTGTGGGTTCATTAACTGATCTTTGATGCAAGCACAATCCACAGGAGAGGGAAACCTACAGGCTCCGTCCCCGGAGAAGAGCTGAGAAGTGGCTTTCCTGATGCTCCATATTAATGTGTTTCTAAGCACGTGTTCATTGCCATTTTCCAAAGCATGTCTTTTGGTAATAGTCCTGGCTTTGCTTGTTTGTGCAGATGAAGGCAGTGAAGTGGAAAGTGAAATGGACGAAGAACTAGATGACTCTTCAGAACCTCAAGCCAAGAGAGAGAAAACGGAGCTGACCCCGGCGTTCCCGGTGGGTTGTCTGCAACCTGTTCTGGAGAGCAGCGTGCAGCCCGGCCTGCTGAACCCCATCCACAGCGAGCACATCGTCACGAGCACTCAGACTATCCGGCAGTGCAGCGCCACAGGCAACACTTACACTGCGGTCTAAGGAATATTAAAGCATATTTTCCCAGCTAACAGTAACCCTGTTGATATTGGGCTTCAATTGAGAAATTAATAAGCCTGAAGGTCGACTGTTGTCAAATTCTATCTGTGCTGAACATTACCTTTTTGGAGTTGTGAAATGGAATGGGTGTATGTATTTTGCCAGGTCTTTTTTTTTTTTTTTGTAAACAAATTATTTGCTTCTTAATAATAAGAGTTTTTTTCCCCTTAGTTTCAGGCGTCAAGAAGGATTTTTACAACACTTAATATTTTTGTTTTCTTATAATTAAAAGTAATTTACATTTTTGTAGCTGAAAATATTTTATTGTTGATTGTTAGTCTTGGTGTATGATTTTATGTGTGAGTTTTTAATTAGATGCACTTCTGTGAAATATCAAAAGAAATGCATTTTTTATTTACACTGGAGGCATGCCCATTTGGCAGCAGATGCATCAAATTTGCTTTTGAAAGGTGCTTTTCATTGGGCAGAACCACAAGACACTATTTTGATAGCATTTTGGAGTATGGAGAAAGAATACAGAGCATTTTTATGATAGTGCTAGAGGGTTGGGAAGGTCACCTATATTTCTCTGAAGAAAAATTAAGCTGTGCATTTATCAGTTCAGAGTAAATGACAGAATTGCCAGAGATTATGCTAATATGTACATAATTTGTGTACGTAATTATTAAATCCTGTTAATGCAAGCTTCCGTTAAACATTGAATTTTAACTGTTATTTGCATACCAATTCCTCTGTTTAATGACTACTGATTCTGTATTTGGGACCACTGCACAGATGCGTTCTGCTGTTGAGTGGGGCTATTATAGTTAGAGACTGAAGCTGAAAAAAATGACTTGACTTTTTTTTTTTTAAGTGTACATGCTACTTATGCTGAGCTGGACATACAGGAAACCATTCCATTTGGATGACTTTCTTTTATTCCAGGTCTTTTTCCTAATAGTAGTTCAATATGCTGCTATTATAAGAGAAAATTTATAGAATGCAAGGAATGTAGCAACCTGCATATCGTTCTTTGGTTCAAAAATATTTCCTGGTTTCTAAAGTACGTGGATTTAAATTTTAAACAGAACCTGAAGGCAGTGTCACTGGCACGCCATACTGTTGCTTATCCCCGATTCTGTAGGATTCGGATAGGTGGCTGGATGGACCGGTGCCATTGAAGAATGTACATCAGGGATCATCGTACCTCGGCTATAACATGGTGCCTTAAAACAGAACTGAAGCTAAGGTTTAGTAAGGCTTATTTTGTTCATGTAAATTCCTCTTCAGTCCATTTGACAAGCTGTGCCTGTCATTGTCAGATTCCTGAAGTAAGGACAGGTTACATGTTTTTCAAAGGAAATTTAGGGCAAAACAAAAAGACAAAAGAATCAGTTTCCCTCTTTTAGTGACCATGAACCTATTTTTTGTTCTTAGAGCTGAATGATACTTAATTATAATTCAGATTGCTTAAGGGTATAGAGTAGCAGGCTAGTTTTAATCACCAACTTGTTACATAAAACATATATATGTTAGACAATTCTTATCTAGTTATAATTTAAGAAAGTTTAAGTAAGTACTTATTGAAGTGCATCTTTTCCGTCTCAGTGTTTGTCTGTGTGTCTTGTTGTCTGTGTCCACGTGCACACACGAGTGCCCATGGGCAGAGTCAGCTACCAAGGCAGGTGAGATCCAGGAGTAGATACACCATTCCCATTTTAATTTACATGAAGAGCCAAGCTTCTTTTAAGCACTCAAGTTATTAACAACAATAAAAACAGACACATCCGTTCATTTAAATTGTTCTTAAAAAGCTAATAAGCAAAAATAAGTACCGAAAGCCAAAAAAAGGGAAAGCACAAAATTATTTACAGATTATTAATGAGGCCTATATTAAATTCAAGATGTTTATCTTTCCAGTTTTATTGGAGTTAGGGTAGAGGGTGGAAAAAAGAGGTTGAGCCAATCTGTAAAGTTAAAACTACCAAATGGCTTTTTGGGTAACATGCAGTATATTTCAACTGTTATTGCTCAATTGCCTTAGACTACTCAAATAACTGAGATCAACAGGTTTCTTCAGTAAACGTTAAATGATTTAGATGTAATTTTTTAATTGATTCAAATTTTGTATTATCAGCTCATATATTCGAAAGTCTTTTGCTAGCTTATCGCCTTTATCTAAATATCATTTAAATTATTATCCCCCTTTTACTCCCTAAAAGGCAATGAATTTGTACCGTCACACACACACACACACACACACACACACACACACACAGGCAAGCAAGCAAGACACCTTAAGCTGCAAAGACCGTATATCTACTTCATTGTGCATTAGGAAACATTACAAGTACATTTAAATCAAAAAATTAAAAAAAAAAAAACACTCTTGGGTTTGACTCTTCCTTCTTAATTTTTCATTTTCCACACAGAGATCTATGCTATATTTGTATTGAACCAATGTTTTTACTGGTATCATCTTGCTTATTGAACAATTTTAAATGTATTTATTATCATTGTTTCCTTTAACTTAATGTTGGGTGTATTTGTTTTGTTAGAGGAATCTGATAATAATGGGCAGGTTTAGATTAATGAAAATTAGAGACTGGGGATCCTCCAAGGTTCAACATTTCTTCTCATTGTTCATGGTTTGTTCTAAATTTACACAGATTGGGAATTAATATTATCTTTCAACTTGACTCACTAAAAATGTTCTGATCTCCTTTATGAATTAGGGACATAAATTCTTTGTGGACAAGTATAGATAGTTATAACCCATAGACAAATAATATCTATAATCTGTGCTACTTCCTATTATTTGTAGTCCACACTAAGACACATGCACACATATACAATCACAAACAAAAATTTTAACAATTTTGAACTTGAGTTGTGAAATGTATTACAAAATAAAAGCCTCATAATTTATACCTTTGAAGAAATTGGAGCAACCATGTATATTGCATTTATTAAACTTTATTTCCTTTTTTAGTCATTGAAACTGTCCTTTAAAAATAATATTAGACACTAATAACAATAGGTTTATTGATAAATGACCAGGACATATTTTAAGTACTTAAATGTTTTGGGGCACTGTAATCAAACACTAGTCCTGAAAAATATCTCTATAGACCAAGTAAATGATAAACTGTCAGTGAGGGAAAATGTAAAGAAGATATCATGGCTATTTTTATTATAATTTTCAGAAAAGCTATTTCCATTAAATAGGATCAAGTATCAATAGCATAGTTTGATCTTCATGTACTAGTATACATCTCCAAAAGATTTGCATTACAACAGCCCATGAACAATAGGGTGAAATGGGTGAACTGTCCACTTGGACCCGGTTTAAAATTGTTTTTTGGATAGTAAGTGGCTGGTCACTTTTTCAGGATTTTCATCCAAACTTTGTTTAGACTGACTGTATAAGTCTTACTGCCTTTTCAGAAATCTGCTTTCCTTTTTGTGCTTTTTCTTGTACTGTACAGCACGGTTCACACACCTCTCTTTAGATGGTGTACTTTAAAAACAAAAATAAATTTTAGAAAATGGTTTTAACACTGCAAAACTAAAATTAGTAGTGTGCAACGTTGACTGCCTTTGATGTGTAGTAAACGAGTGAAAATGAACATGTTCTTGTAGAATACTGTCAAAATCATTCAGGAATGAACGAGGTTTCATTACTGTAATCATGAACCTTTTTACATGAATGCACTCGCTAGAAGTGCTAAATGTGATGCATTTTCAAAGTTTAAAAAATCCTTCAGATGATATATTTGAGATGTCTAAAATAATGCTGTGCTTGAAACATTCGTGTAAAAGAAAAAAAAAAAAAAAGATGTGTGTCACTCTGATGCTGGTCCTCCCTGTGTGGACAGAAGTAAAAAGTAAAAAACGTTGGCAAGTCACCTTTATGTACAATCTGAGGCAGTGGTTATATAAAAAAAAATAAAAATTGACCTTTATGATGACCTCCCCTTCCCCAAATTCTCGATGAGATAATAACAACCACCAAAACAATCAAATCAAACCCTGTGATTTGTATGAATCCCACAGGACATGGGGGAGAGAGATTGACATGCAGTGAAAATTGGGCTTGTCACTAGATCAGGTCAACCTCCATGTATGTGGTTAGAACAAATCAATTAATGGAACCCTAGTATTTCTGCAAGTTTGATGATTTAAAAAAAAAAAAAAACTGGAATAGAAGCATTAATTCAGTGCTTAGTTCTAGTGTTAGAAACCCCTTGGATGTAATGCCTTGTATTAACCCTTTGAGCATTGTAAGATATACAATGGGGGACAAAAGCCTTTCAGATCCTTTATTTAGACTTAGACCGGTAAAATATACTCTATATCCAAATGTCTAATTATGCTGGGGTTTTTTTTTTTTAAGGGGGGGTAGGAAGAGAGAGTGTTTCATGCCGAACACTTGCATTTTATATACGACTCTTAATTTTCTTCAAGAGGGCTTGATATATTTATTCCCAAATATTCACTGCCATCTAAGTAAGTGTACTGTTTACAGAAAAAAAAATCAACTTTTCTAGTATCCCAGCATGACTCTAGAAAAGGAGGACCCAGGCGAGGGCCGTGGACCCCTGCCAGACCGGTTTCTGCGCGTTGAAAGGACCTAGATTGCCTTCAAAAGGTACGATAAAGAAAGGGTTCCATCCCCCCTCCTCCCCCCGAAACACAAGAAGGAGCGGTCTCATTTATTTAGCTTTAGAAAGTACAACTGCAAGTGAAGCCTTAGGAAGAAAGGAGTTCGAGCGGCTAAAGAAAAGCTGAACTCTCTGGGGGCAGGTAAGCTGTTTGCAGTTAGATCTCTCACAACACATTGTTTGGGAATTGCAGACAGGGCATACTTTTATCTATGCTCCACAATGTTAATACTTTGTCAAAAAAAAATTACATAGAGATAGAATGCAGAGCAAAAGCACTTGATTGGAGCTCACCTGATGCTATGACTACTGCCAGTTCTGCTCACACAGTCGCTGACT